TTCGACTTCTGTTTGGTATGATCCATGTCTTCGCTTTCTTTTGTCCGCTCTGCTGATGTTATTTATCTCTTCCCATTTTGTGATTTCTTCACATCTTTTTTTTCATAGTTCATTGATTACTTTTGTTATTCTCTTTACAATTCTTCTGCATACTTCTTTTGTTTTTTCCTTTGCAAACTGGTATATATAATTGATTATCTCTTTGGTCAGAATTCCCCTTACTATATAGTTTCTTGTATTTAATTATTTAATATATTATATATAATTTATTAATTTTATTATAATATAAATTTGCAAAATTATTTAAATTCGATTTTATTATATATGTATATTAAGCTATTTGTATTTTTTTTTTAATTGAAGAATTAATATTGTTAAAAATATATACAGTATATCAATTTTATTATTATAAAATCAAAAAAAAATTTTTTTTTTGAAAGCCTGATTTTTTGAATTAATAAAAAGATTAATAAAAATTTTTTTATTAAAATAATAAATTTATTGTATTTTTCTATAAGAATATATAATTATTACTTGAAAATTTTAAAAATAAATTAATAACGATATTTATGTATTTTTTTATTAAATAGATGATTGTATTATTATTTATTATATACTGTATTATTAATAAAAATTTAATTAATTTATTAATTATTTATATAATAATGCATGATATAATTTAAATATTTGATTAAACCAATTTAATTATGTTTAGTTTATAAATATTATTACAATTATTGAACTATACATGATTTTTTGAAAGATAAATTAACAATTATGATATCTTGGATTTTATTAAGTATTAAATTGTGCGTCTTGATAATCTTATGCATATTAATTTTTACATATTAACTGTAGGTTTAATCAAATCAATTTATCTAATGTGCCTAGATATACTGTATGATATAAGCAAAAATAATTTTTTTTAATAAAGTATTTTTTAAATGTCAATCGTTATACGGTTTATTTTAAATAATTAAAAGCAAACAAATGATACAATCATTTTTAAAAATTTTTGGAAATTGAATATACAGGCAAACCTCGTTAAACCGAAGTCGCTAGAACTATTAATCAAAAATGTTGAAAAATTCGGTTTAACAAGGTTATTTACAATAGGCTGGTTTTTTGAGCGAACTTCGGTTTAATGGGGTTTCAATTAGTACTTCGGTTTAACGAGGTTTGGCTGTAATATTAAAATAATCTTGATTATGCTTTTAAATATTGGTTTGTTTAATTTAGAAACTAGTTTGTAAAAAGTGATATACTGAATTAGAATATTTTACCAATAAACTTAGGATCCCATTTTGTTCTTTTATTGAACTACGATATCTTTGATTGCCAAGAATACTATTAGTAATTAACTACAGTATCAATATAAAAGTCGCTCTGATTTGATTAACTAATAATAATTTTGCATTTAACTCAATAATTTGATATGATAATTCGAAAAACTTACGTAAATTGAAAGTAAAATCCGAATCACGGATAGACTGTAATCTATAACAGTCTTTTTTGATTACCACACTCGGTATTGTAAAAATCCGATATAGGATAAAGAGTAAGCAATAAGGCTTACAAATATAAATACTATTTAAAAAATCTTTAAAAAAAATATAAGGGATTCAGTCCAATCAACAGACTCTTATTTCACTTCCGGTAATTGACCATCTTAAGGCTTTCCCGGAGACGATTCATACCATCGTCCTCCTCAGAGAAATCGCTGATATGATTTAATATATGCGTTCTTTCCTGAAGATGGGGGGAAATAGTCACTGTCGGTGCTTTGGGGCGGTAACTTTCAGGTGTATTTCTACTCCTGCCACTGTTTCTAATTGCGACCTTGGCCAAAATATCCCAATTGATCCAAGGAAATGATATCATTCTCTCGGAGGGGTCAGCACTAATCTCACTTTGATGGTATGTAACATAATACCATGCAAATGCCTTGGCCTCCATATTCTTTTCATCCTCGGGCGATATGAAATTTCCTTCACCGTAAAATTCTAACTCAAATGTTTTCTTATAATTACGTTTTATCACGGTTATGTTATCCGCAACTGATTTTTGAACATCCCGTGGTTTCTTTTTTTCGATCTTTACAGTAGGTTTGACGATGAAACCACTAGATACCTCATATTCGGATGACACACCAAATTGATTCATCAATCCTCGCAATTCCGTGTCATACGCTCGCTTAAGGGTACGCGCTTTTTCTAAATATCGCTCAAAACCTTCAACATAAAGACGCTCATCAAAAGAGATATCAACGTAAGGGTTAAATTCGTCCACTAAAATAGACCTATAAAGGATTCCAAGGACTTTCTTGGATTCGTATGACGGCTTGTCAGGCTTCTCCATAAAATCGGGGAATTTTTCTACTTTAAGGTCTAGTGGAAATTCTGCTGGAATTCCAGTTTTCGGAAAATCGACTGCCGCAGAATGTAACTGTGCCAAACGAATACATTTGCCATGGAAAGCACCACTTTCCTCAATATCTGCATTGGCTAGATGAGCATTCGCAATCTGACCCAATTGATCAGAAAGAATATAATTTACAAAGAATTTCTTTACGTCATGAATGGCCACATCATCGACGGTATCAGCTTTGGGCGCCTCGTAATTCATGGGTTCTACATTTTTTATTTTTGGAATGAGCTTTGGATCATAAATTATGCTTAATTTACAGCAAGGGAAAAAAATTTTTTTTCTTATGAGAAGACAAAGAATAAAACAGAATACATTGAACCAAATCTTTGAACGCATCCTTACGTGAAATCATCGCCATCTAAATCTCCACCGCTGAGTTGACTTGGGATGTCCCTGTAACCTTTTGCGGGGAAGACCAGTACATCAATAAGGTGGTCCAGCTTCTTGCAATCTACAGCGGTAACAACACGAACATCTCCGGGGTGAAAGCACGGATTACGGAATACAATACAAGGTCCTTTGATCACTTGTCTCGCGTTAGGATTGTTGGGATCCGATTTGCAACAATATATTTGATCTTCCTCTAAAGTTTCGGTTTCGTCTAACACACCAAGCAAAAAAGCACCATCAGAAACACGGATTTTTGCCTTTTTCTTGAGGTCTCTTAATACCGTGATTCGAAACAATGATATAAGATTTACAAGATAAGGGTCCTTGTAATAAAGAAATCCTGCTTTAACAAGTTCCGCCATTATTTTCGTCATGCCGTATTCATCAATGTTCTGTTGTAGAACTTTGACAGCAGTACTTTCGCTTTTAAGCATTTTATCTAGTTCTTGAACCTGCGCATCTTTCATTTCAACAAAAACCTCATTGGGAACACCCAGTGCCGACAAGATGGTGATTGCTTGTCGGTTGAGATAAGCGGTTATCATACATGAACCCCTAATTATCTCGAGTACATTGTGAGTCGAGTCGAATTTATGTTGACTCGGTCGAACTTGAATCCCCATACCACGAAGGTAACGTGATTGGCAAAGAACGCCTTTATATCCTGCCAAACGGAATTGGAAGGCGCACGGAGTAGTTTTTAGTTCTAGAGTGATAGCTATTTTTTGGGCAAGAGCATGAGAAATCTTGCCAGTACCGTCGGAAAAGTTGTATCCATTTCTTATAATATCAGGGATTTCTTTGATATCGTTGACGGGTAAAGTTAAAATCGCACGGGTGCTGGAGAAACATTGACCCATGCGAGCAGCGTATTTTGCTATGTTCTTGTTACTTGAAAAATCCCCCATCCACGCTCGGATATCGTCGGCTGTTAAGTCTGGTATTGGTGCGAAAAACCAACAAGAGTGTTCTCGCAGTTGACTCGAAGAGAAGGCTAAGAATTCATAATTGCGATCCCCTATCTTAATACCATTGACGAGGATATTAAAAATCCTGTTATATAAGGCTTTATTATTATTAGATGCGCCAACGGTTCCCGCCGCTTCATCCACAAATTGAACACGCAAAAAATTATCCTTATAGCTTTTGAAATGACGAATGACACGGTTAGATGTTTCCATAGTCGGTGGAAGTATATACATTGTAGTCGGAGTAACGACCACCTTTCTCATCATAACACAATATGGTGGAACCTTTCGACTTTGTTGCGCCGTGAAATTGCGGATCTCGAGCTTGAGATAGGTGAGAGGATCGTACACTCGTTGTTTCGTGACGGAAATCTTCTCCATTATGTCAAGCGCAACCGATTTTGGTTGACTAAATAATATTTTATAAAATTCATCGCCGAGGTTGTAGTCGTGCAAGTAATTATGTGATAAATTACTTTCGGTCATGTAAAGTACATCAAAATCTAACATTGATCTATCGACGTGTTTCCTCAGTGTATTCCCCGAGATAACCCTAAGGCGGAGGTTCGTGTCTATTTCACCGGACATTGGAACAAGATTGTATTCACCAGCCTCTTTAATCATGTTTTTGAATTCTCTTATTTCTGCATTCGTTCCAAGATTGAAGGTAAGTCTGAAGACGATCATCTTTCCTAGCTGATCACTAAAATTTGGCATGTTCAACTGCAGCGGCAAGGCTTTATCTTCATCTGATGGTGCCCGAATGCTGAGTTCAGTTTTTCTTTTCCAGGAATCATTAAGTCGCCAAACAAATTCACTTCTAGGCTTCATTTTTGTATCCAACATCCAATACCTGGCTGGGTATTTATTTGCGATGGTAAGACACACATGCGAACGATTTGATTCGTCCCATTCGATAAAATTTTCAACTATATCCTTAAATTGTATTTCGAGTTTGAAGGTGTAACTTGAAATTGAAAATGTAACCTTAATGTCGCGTCTGTTGTAATCGATCATGAACTTTACATCTTCGGTGTACTTGAACTCGCTTACGAAGGTGTCTTTTTTCAGGAACATTCCTAATTCAAGGCTTCGTGCCGAAAACGAACTTGGTTTTAATCTAGATTTCCCATCACTATATGAAAATGCTGGTGATGGCTTAGCATGATATAGGTATAAAATCCGACCATGATGACGGACAGTTTGTAACCAAAATGGCTCTTGCGGAGGAGGCCTGTATATGATAATAGTAAGATTCAATGGTCGAAAATTCAGAAATTGCAATCTCCTTTATCAGTATACCCACCTAAAGGTTACCACGGCCTGTCCTGTGGGTTTCTCTCCTCGTTCTCCCTCTACTGTGTCAATTTGGATTTTAAAAACGTCGCCGTACATGTCAAAAAATTGACGCAATTCTAGGACGGGTGTTCTTAAAGAGATGTTTGAAACTCTGAGGGTAAGTTCAGAAAAATTTCTGTAATTGATAGGAGGAAGTAAACGGTCGTGGCCATTTTGTTTATAGTTGCCATTGCCGTTGTAATTTCGATTGTTGCCGTTATTATTGTAATGACGACTGTTGCCGTTGCCACTAGAACGGCGATTGTTGCCATTGCCATTATGATAGCGATTATTACCGTTGGAATTGTAATAATTATTGTTAGGTGAATTTCGATACATATTGCAAGCGTTCCTGTGCGGGACACGAAAAGTCGAAGTTTTTCCGTGCTCCTTATATAAGATATTTTTTTTTTTGCCGAGATCTACAAGACATAATTCCATAATTTCACTCGAAAATGATCGGCATATAACTGGTAATGTGGTGGAGGTGGTGTAACAACCTACTACGTTTACGTATCGGTGTGAAAGAATTGGAAATTTACAGTGTTCAAGTGATTTTTAGGTAAATTCCATCCCTTGGGATGATCTTAAAGCACCAGTGGGTCAAATTATCAATAAAATGCAGGATAATATTTAATTGTATTGGTGCAATTTTGAATTTTTCTTCTGCAGCTATAAACCATACTCAAAAAGTCCGAATCCCTCCGATTATCTCCTAAAAATGTTTATGATCCATCTAATATTACAAGATCGGAATTACCAGAACTACATAGATTCCACGCCAACTCCATCATCTACCTTTGCTGATATTTGCATTTAATCTTCTAACCAAAATCTCATAGGTTAAAATCGTTAATGCGCTTGCCGGTACAGTCCTTAACAAATTAGTTGACATCCCTTTATAAAAAGCCGTCCACCCTTCCTCTTTTTCTATTACCTTGACTGCGTGAAATACCCCTTGATATTTGAATGGCTTACGAGTCTGATTTTGTAATCTCGTACGTACAACTTCATGTGGATACGTTGCAATCGATGCTGCCATCTTCGAGACGGACGATGCAAGTAAGATTGAGACGTTGGACAGATGATCCTTATCCGGTGGCTCTTCGACAAGGATAAAATAAGATCAAATGTTAATACACGAAATTTAAATTGGAATCCAAACATATTAGGAACCGTAGAGAGCTTACTTAGCCATGTTTTCATTTTCTCATATAACGGGAATTGTACAGCCACGTGGCTCACGCCCATCAGAGAAGGGCCCAGGCCCTTATAAAATCCTCTCATCCCTTCGCTTCTATAAATAGTAGCGAATGCATCCAATGTATTTCTATACTTGTATGCTGTTGTTTCGTTTTGCGTCTAAATTATGATTTGAATCGGATAAAAAAAAAAGAAAAAGAACTTTCAAAGATTAATTGCAAAGAGATGATGAATTAACGTCATATTCTACATAGATTCAGAACGCGAAGCGATCAGAGAAATGTAGGAAGACTAAAGGGAAACGTAGGGTTTGTGTGCGATCTAGAGTATTATTGATTATAGACAAATACCATGAACCGTGTTTTTATCACCCACAATGGATTAGTGACTACAGTACTCGAGGCACCTGCGCCCATAGCCGCGATTATATGAACTATCCATTGTTGACCCGAGGTTTGCCCTATCACAAATTGGTTTCAAGAACAAGATGATAATAATGTTTCTCATCAGTTCAAGAAATCCATTTTTAATATATATGTGTATACATATATAGTTATATTTCTTTTTTCTCTTATATATTTATATAATTCGCTATATACATTGTGACAAAAATTTTGTAGGACAGGATACTTTATATTTGTTTCAATGATCCTAAAAATTGATGAATATGAATATCCCAAATATACTGTGTTTGCAACACGAACAGGACAACATTGAACGCGGAGACCAATTCATCGTCATCTCCACTGAGTCATTCTCAAACATGAATAATAAATTCACCTGCTCGTTCTGCCAAGGTCGACTTGAAATAGTCGTATGCACTGAAATAAATAGCCCACGTGGGTAAGTAGCCGTACAGTGTCGGCCCAAGACCACGGTATAATCCACGTATTCCTTCTTCTGTCCATATACGCTTTAAGGTCCCTAAGATAAATCAGAGGGATGTCTACAAACGTGTGCACCCAAAAATTCAACTGCAAACTTCTAAACTAGATACCTCCGGTGCCATTATACAAAGGAACCCTACAATCGTTTGAATATCTGCCTTGATTCTGCAGCCTAGTTTTTACTACATCTAAGGGGCATGTGACAATCGAACTAACACATCCTGCAACAGCTCCAGCGATGGAATGTTTGATTTTATCTGTTTCACTGGGAAGAAAGTAGTATTTTCTAGTTGAAGTCGTCATATATGCCAGGTACTTTTGACATCGATGAGAAAATCGAATGATTTTATAGTGGGAACTTCGTGTCGCAATGATCGGCCGACACGTGATTACGCGTAATTTGTTTTAGGAAATTTATACATTTTTTACACAATTGTTTATGGTTTCATATTGTAATAAATAAATATATATGTTAGTTCAATTTTATAAGATTAAAGATTTAAATTATAAATTAAAAAAAATAAATACATTTAGAGTTTTCACGTGAAATTTGATTTAAATATATACAGTATATATATATAGTTCATGGTGAATTAATTAATCGTTGACTCGAAAGATAAAATGTCTGACGAAGAAGTAGCGAACAAAAGGAAAAGAGAGACCGAGATTAATGAGGAGCAAGAAGAAGGTAGGCACCGTATTTTACATTCAAAATTCGAAATGTTGCTCTGGAAATGTGGCTAACAAACCCCGAAAATTTGGAAGTCGTGTTTATTTGCGTGTATATAGTAATAATAATAATAATATTCAAATATTCACGTTTCTGTAGACGACGTAGACATAGGGCCAGCCCTGCCTACTGCTAATGATCTTCCAAAAAAGAAAAAGCGAGGTTTGATACATATATATATAATCTCTATCGACATTACACCAAGCCTGATACTTTTTCAAAAATAGTTTTGCAACACGAGAAATTGTACTTGGAACGCATTCCATCGGCCGATATGTATGAGAGGAGCTATATGCATCGCGATGTCCTGAATTATATAGCTGTCACAAGGTAATAATTATCTTGATATATGATAATGATTTTTGAGATTCACTTCACTCACCAGTTGTGTTTCTGAAACAGGACCGATTTTATAATCACGACCTCAATAGATGGTCATTTAAAATTCTGGAAAAAAAATGATCATGGAATCGAATTTGTCAAACATTTCAGATCACATATGGGTAGATAACTTGATATTACACAATAATTAAAACAATTGCTCGTCAATGCTTCTATATCGTGTGCTTATCATTTTAGGCGCCATCACTGGCATCAGCGTTTCTGCAGACGGTTTGCTTCTCGCGACAATAGCGACTGACAAGGCACTTAAAGTATATGATGTTATCAACTTTGGTAAGTAAATTTGATTCGATAGTCGCATGCATCAATTGAGTTAATTTGAATTCTTTTATTCCAGATATGATAAACATGATGAAGTTAGAATACATACCTAATAGCGTTTGTTGGATACATAAGCGTGGAAAAGCACAATCTTTAGTTGCATGGTTGATATTTCATTAATGTTATTTTCTTATTCGCATAATATCACTGGTGCAACATTGCTGAGATTTGCTTTAATTTATTAGTTCGGATCATGAATCTGGGAGTATTTATATATATGATGGCCGAGGTGATGGCAAGCCGTTGCATACGATAACAAAAATGCATTCAGATCCTGTTCACTTGATGGTGGTACGTGTCAGTTTCACAACTATATATGGATAATTATTTTCGAAGGTGGACTGGAAATTTTCTGGTGTGATCCTAAAATTTATATTATATATGTATTGTTTAAAAGTTGGGTCCGAAAAAATCACATCTAGCATTTTTGTCGCCTTCAAAAATAATGACCCATATATGTGTGTTATCTCGTAGTTTTTTACTAATATAATAAGTATATTTATTTTCAGTACAATGAGCTATATAATTGCGTGGTTTCAGCTGATTCATCTGGGATGGTGGAGTATTGGAAACCTGAAGAACCTTTCGATTTGCCAAAGACAGTTTCATTTGAGTATAAATCTGATACCGATCTATACGAATTTAAAAAAGTATTAAGATAATTGTATATACGTTGGTCATCTTTTTCAAGTCAAATTGTTATATTTACCTGTATTGACTTTTTCAACTAGGCTAAAACTATTCCAACTTCTTTGACATTTTCCCCAGATTATAAACAATTTGTTACAATGAGTACTGGCGATCGTCAAGTACGAGTGTTTAAGTTTGGAAATGGGAAAATGATCCGAAAGTACGATGAGTCCTTGACAGTTATGGTTGAAATGCAACAGGTCTGTTCTTTGGAGATGATTGCAGATTTTTCACCAAAAATCTTACCTATCATGCGGACATACTTTAGGCAGGTACAACCATATATAAACTAGACGATATGGAATTTGGACGTCGTCTTGCTGTTGAACGCGAACTCGAAAAAACGCATCAGGCAAGGACAATGGATGCAGGTACCTAATATTATCATGTTTAAAATGTATTTTCAATTTCTAAGAAAAAATTTCACACGTACATCTAGTGTTCGATGAAAGCGGTAACTTCATCATTTATCCCACCATGTTGGGCATCAAAGGTTTGTATTTTAATTTAGTTAACGTGATCAGAACTATTTTTTATCAATGAGAAAATTTAACACCGTAAATTATTTCAAGTGGTCAACATAGTCTCAAACAAAGTGGCAAGGTTAATTGGGAAAACAGAACCACATCGTTTTCTAAATATGGCCTTGTATCAAGGAGCACCAAAGAAAAAAGCATTCGTTACATTGGTAAGTATGAATAACGAATTGAACACATGTAAATGAAATTTTTAAAAGGTACCGAACTATACCTTGCAATTTTAAACATACAGGCAATGGCTGCGTCCGATAATCCCTTGATGAAAGAAAGTGAATCAACAGATCCAACATTGTTTTGCACGGCCTTCAAGAGAAATCGATTTTTCATGTTCACAACGCGTGAACCTGATGCGTCAGTATAACTTTGTGATTAAATAATATAAAAATGTTATATTCTGCATGTGACTGATTTCATTTCAACAGGCACGATTCGCATAAGGGAGACCGAGACGTTTATAACGAGAAACCGTCACGAGAGGAGCAAACAGTTGCATCCGCAACACCTACTAAGCAAAAATTGGGGAATACGGCGATATTACGTACAACTTTGGGAGATATTCATATAAGATTGTTCCCTGAATACGCTCCAAAAGCTGTTGAAAATTTTGTCACTCACTCGAAAAATGGATATTATAATAACGTGATATTTCACCGTGTTATCAAAGGCTTCATGATTCAAACGGGAGATCCGTTAGGTAATTTATGAAAGTTGCTTGAACTAAAAAGAGCAAAGTAGTATTTACAGGTCTTTTTGTAACGTCTAGGTGATGGAACCGGTGGAGAATCGATTTGGGGTAACGAATTTGAAGATGAATTTAATAAAGATCTTAAACACGACCGGCCGTATACAGTGAGTATGGCCAATGCGGGACTTAATACAAACGGATCTCAGTTCTTTATAACGGTGGTTCAAACGGTAATATTATAAATTTGTTAACATACGATCACGTATGGTAAGAATTTTAACATTGACCATTCATTATCATGAATAGCCTTGGCTTAATAATAAGCATACGATATTTGGAAGAGCCACAGCAGGAATGGACGTAATTCATACAATAGAAAACGTCAAGACGGATAAAATGGACAAACCATATGAGGATGTGAAAATTATCAACATTGAAATTCGTTGAATTTATTTAATTCATTTACAAAAATTTGTTGCGTGTGAGTATTTACATGATTTGAAATATTTACACAAGATGACTGATAAATTATTCGACTGTAAGAACAAAGAGTCGAAAGTATATAAAGAATTAGTAAAGTAAAAATAGAAAAGGACGAGTGGCATAAAAATGAGAATATACATACTTTATTTTTTAGTTGTACATTAGTCCTTTGAGACCTATCTCCATTCTTTTCTTGTTTTTGGGGGTGATTTTTTTTTTTTTTGAGCAAGTTATTTAAGAGGGCCAAACATTTTTGCCTCCATTAATTCCTCTATGCATTCTATACTAGCTGATTTAATCAGGAGGCTCATTTGATCACTATTCTTGATGCTTAACCAATTCTTATAAATAAAATCATAGGCAGCGGTCTTTAAAAGTACCTTGCTGGAAAAACAATTTGACTTCCAACCGATCTCTAGCACTTGATCCCAATTATCGTAATCCACTGTACGAATTATTTTATCAGCTACCAATTGAGCGAGTTGCTCCAGTCTCATCATATCGGCATTTATGTAAACATCCTTGAGCGTATCAAAATCCGAACCATCTTCAAGTTTTAAAGTGTAAAGATAGTAAAGAATAATACGAAATGTTTCAAATGAGATGTGTTTTATGGGAATTACTTTCATGCTACCATCTTTCCAAGTGCCACCAAGGAATTTTGCAAAATATTCCGAACGTTGAACTAGAATTATTCGATGTGCCTTTATGGTACGAATTCCTCTTCCAACTTTTCTACCGTCCATTGCTGATCTCACAGTTACACATTTGCTATTTAACTCGCCTACACAATTTTCATTCTTTACTACTTCATCTATACAATTACCACTGATGGGGTCATTGTTCTCTTTCTCGTCCTCGAAGGTGAATGTAACATCGTAGTAAGTTTCGTTGTTAAAAAAACTTTCAAAGGAAGCTGATGAATTTAAATAAGACTCTGTGGAAAATATTTCATTATATAAGTCCATAAAAGGTAACAACATTGAATTGTTATTAAATATGTGAACTCTCACAACTAAATCAACCTCATCGCAATTTATGTCTACACCAGGGAATAATTCACAAAAAGTGCCCAGAGTAGGGAAGCCATAAGTAGAATTTGAACCGTGAAATTCAAACTCCCATTTCTGAAATGAACTTTCATAAACTAATACCGGGAATTCTTTTGACGAATCATGGTTTAGCGGATGATTATGGTTTCTAGAAAAAGTTGATGAACCATAAAATTTATTATTTAATAGTGATGGAGTTGATGAAGATGTGGTATTGATAGGATTTGTTGAGGATTGTGAATTTTTGATAAGACGCCATATAGAAAATTTAAATTGTACACTACGTTTCATTATATAATTTTGTTTTTCGTATGGTGACTGAATTGTCTCCAGATAGATTGACAAGTGACGATTATGTTTTTTGGTTGCACCGTTGGGATAGATTCTCAGACGCCATAAGTAGGAAGGGTCTTCATTTGTAGAATTAACGACTCCAGGCTTGCGATTTCCAATACTGCTAATACCATTTGTATTACCTGGTGGTGGAAATGGTGAAAAGGGGATTGTTGCCTGCGGTAATAATGCCGTTGTTGTTGATTGTGAGTGACATAAGCCGAGATCGTTAGCCCAAGCGTTAGGAGAGCAAAGTAGATTTGCATCGAATAGACCTCTCGGGGATCTAAATCTTTCACTGTACAGATAACTACCGGTAGTCATTAATCTAACTAAATCATGAAAACCGCGTAAAGTCCAAGAGTATACATAAGGTTGTTGTTGAAGTGATATTATATCATTTGGAGATTGCATTGTTTAAAGATTTTTCAAAAAAAAATTTTTTTTTCTGAGAAGTTCGTATGTATATACTATATATGCGTAAATCATGTGGCTAATATACATGCATTCCTTCGCATGATGCGATGATTCGGAGAATAGATTCCTCAACATTTGTGCAAATGGTTTTTTTTTTGCGGTTTTTCCGTCATTTGTCACCTGCTCATTCATCCATATTTGGAATTTCAAATAGTGCAGAACCCTTGGATAAATATTCGGAGATAATGGACATTACTCCGAAAGAGAAACCACACCACGTAAAGTGTGTCGTTCCTGATTCAAGTTTTATGGGCGAATGAACAATGAAATGCGTATTTCCTATTGACCATTACATTCTCGTGATTCTTTTTTGAGCCAATAATCGATTCAAAAATGAACTATTCCTTTTATAGCAGGAAAAAACGGTTAGGATTAATTAATCCTCAAAATTTTGTTTCTATTGCTATTTCACTTTTGTTGCCCTTTTTCTAAAATCAGCTTTGATTGATTCTATTCTAGTGCTTCTCGATTACACGACTATATTCCATAATTTGTAATTCGAAATGATAGCCAAATATCTATTTGTTGCAATGTCATATCTCAAATAATCACGATATCTGCGTTATTTGTTTGCATCTTTATTTTCTACTGTGTACACGATGTTAAATGGATTTACATTACCAGACAATTATGACACATTAAAGTTTGATTTCTTTGCATTCCAAGGTATCGATAACATTATTTAATTATTTACGAATAGTAAAACATGTAAATTATCATATTTATAAATACTGCTAAATCTTTTTTTTTTTTTAATTCACAAGTTATAAGTTATTAATTGAAAGATTTTCAAAAAATTGTATACAAAATTGGTTTATTAAATATATTTGATAATCTCAATTTTGAATTTAAATTTAATCTGTGATTTTTGAAAACCAATTTTCTATTATCTTTAATTTCAAGTTTATTATTGAAATAATATCAATCGATATTGTATATTAAATATAAAATAAAAAAAAATCATTAATGATCTATTGTTGATTTTTTTTTAATATTTAATATCTCATAAAAAATAAATACTAGAATTTTTCTTTAAAAAAAAATAGTTAAAATTTTAAACCAATTAATTTCTTTTTTAATATTTTATAATTGTGCAGCATGACACTGATCATATTGTATAATTGATTGTTTAAAAAATAAAACCATTAATAAAATAAATCAAGTAATAAAGTAAAATTATTCATGTTATTTTTATTTTTATTTTTGTTTTTAAAGACAAGTTAAAAAAATAAAAGCATAAAGGTATCTAGTCTTTTATTGTAATTAACAGAGTTTTTATTATGAATAATAAATTTGAGCAATTTATATTACTTTTCTTTTTCAAGATAACTAATCTTATAATTGTGATCTTGTAAATTTGTGTGGCATACATATTATTTGACGAAAAAATCTTATCTAACATTTCGTCGCCTTCAATAATAATGGCTCATATAATAATTTAAATATATAATTTTATTTCTATTTGTTATAGCCACATTGGATATATCTAAATATTATTAATATTTGATCATGTATGTTGATAACAAAATCAATATTTTTAAAAAATTATTACGTATTTGATATTATTTATTAAACAAATTTTTTGTAAACAATTACCTAATATAGTTTGTTATTTATCGACTTATTAATGTATAAATTATTGTACCATTGTCTTTTCTTTTTTGTTACGCCAGTAACATTCAACTAATGCATATAGATTTCTATTCATCAATTGTATATTGCATTTAATATCAAGTATAAACTAATCCGCAACTTTTGAAAGATGAACCACCTTCGTGTACCATAAATTGAAAAACTCACATAACCGTGTCACTGCGTTAAATTTTATAAAGAAGAAATGATAAATGGAATAATTCGATTTATTCTGAAGGCATGTATTAATTAGAAATGATTTGATAGGGTATGATACATGAATATATACAATAGGTATCCATATTGCTTATTATTTTAAGGTATACTAGGTTTACGTCTTTAATCCAATAATATTTAGAAGTTCATTAAAATGTAGACTAAAATAATATTGAAAATAAAAATAAATGGATACGGAAATTAAAAAAATTTTTTTTTTCATTTCATTTTCTTAACCAAATTATTTCATGATAACTTGAAAAACCTCATAATCATCCACCCCAAAATAATTACCCTTGTCTCTAATTTTATGTTCATATCTCAATCCCCCAGACGCATAGCTTGAACCACCTTCATTAGCATCGCCAGTAATCTTTAATTCATAAAATCCAAATGATGGACCTAGTCGATCCTGAAGTTGAATGGCATCATTAACACAATCTCCCCTGATTCTACTTAATTTTGCCTTGGATAATTCTTTACCGTCTCCTAAAGAAAATATAAAGCTGTCTCGGGTACCCTGCCATTCAACGTCTCTTGGCGAGGACCACCCTATTGGATTATATCCTCCTATCAGTTCTTTAGAATCACCGACTCTTACAACTACTATCGTCGGCCCTTGACCATCGCACTTTTTGTGAAATGTTTTAGCAGAAAATCCATCGCGACTTCCGCGAAACAACAACCTTACCATGGTGATAAATTTAAATGTTAATATGCAGCATACAAAAGAGACCGTCGAAGGAGCAAATAAGGAAGATAGATGACTTTGGAAATAATGATATCCTTACCTAAAATGATAAGGGACCGGAAACATGTCGGTATGGGACGACGGGTCTTTTACGTTTTTTCGATCTATCCAACACGCTATTAAGGCAGCTTGTTGATGTGTAATGATTGTTGAATCTATTGTTCGTTCTTTCGTAGGGTATATAATTCTCGGTGTTGCTAAGGAGTTTTCTAGTTGTCCACCGTTTATTTGAGTGGATTTTGTTAAGAAGCGTTGCCTAAGTCTTAATTTTAAATTTCTTGGTATAATCTTTTCAAAAGGCTTAACTTTTTTATTGAAAACTTCAGGTGGAAGTTGCCAATATCTTATCAGTGGAATGCACCTCTGTATAGTTTTTTCCAATTCATCAAATTCTCGTGAGCTCCATTTTGAAACATCTAACTTCTTCAAATTTGTATTTTTTAGGCCCCACTTGATCAAATAATCCCAAATCTTTCCTTCTTCCATACACAAATCATCTCGACTCAGTAACGAAATAAGAGTGGTCTCATCCAGTTCCATAAAATCTTTTGATTCAAAGAATCTAACGGGGTCAGGACAAACTATCGAAAGACAGTGAGATCTCAATTTGCTACACGAGTTTCGTTCAATTACGGCATTAAGAACATATAAAATATTATCTTGTATCCATTTAAAGTTATTCTGAATAAGGTAATCCTGTAGCGGATATATAAGTTCGTCAAGAATTAACTCATCGGATGCTATCAGTAGTTCCACTATATCACCATCATCTAACTTTTCTAACATTATATTTCCGCTATAGATATATCTGTTGATTATGAGCAAAATGAAATGTCAGAAAAGATCTCAAGGAATCACGAATCAAATAACACACATTTTACCTAAGTATTGCCTCGAATACGATCGGACTGATGTTAGGCTTCTCAAATACATATTTGGTACCTTCTATTCTCGCCCATTTACTTGATAAAGCGGCACGGAAATATTCAGATCTCGCTCTTAGTATAACCGAGTGAGCCTGGAACCGCTTAAAATCATGTTTCCCCACTTTGATAATGACATCAGAATCATCCGCATATTCGAGCAAAGTACCAAAGTTTTCTGAAAGTCGTGAGTGAAAGGAGAGTGACATTTTCGTATATTTTGTTTATATTTTTCTATGAACAAAAAGTAGCTATGGGGAAATAAGTTTTCTCATAATACTTACTGAAAAAAAAGTCGGATGACAGGTTTGTTTATCAATTTGAGCATGATTTACGCACGGAGAGCATTTACACAAAGCGGTGGCTTAGCATTTTTATCATTTATAACTTAATTTGGAGATTTTCAGACCCCACAATATAAGACCCCTGAAATAACGTACATACGTAATATATGTATATACCATATTTGATGCATACAATTTCTAAGCCAATTTGGTTGATAATAATGAAAAAAAAAGCCTTCAACTTGTATTAATTAATTCAAATAGAAGTTTAGACTCGCTCCTTTTTAATTCAATTTAATTGATCAACCCTTTTCTTTGCGAAAAATGCTTTTTAGAAATGTCATAATTTATCACAAAAAAATAATGATCATGTGATTAGATTAAAATTTTTTCACAAAGTAAAAAAAAAATTAAACCAAGTAATAATAGAAAAAATTTATTAGATTGATATTGTTTATTCATATAAATGACATAGGAAAAACAAATAAAATTAGCTCTAATATTTTTTATTTATTTAATAAAAGATCAATTATAAATATAATAGAATCAAGATATCAAGTTAAAGTGCCTTAAATATGTATTATTTTTAAACTAAAATTTGGCATTAAAATTTAATCAGTAATGAATTCAATGAGAAAATTTCCAGTTGAAAGGGACTGAACGTTAAGAAATATTTGTTTATTAAAATAAGTTTTAATTCAATCGGTTTGACCATCAATTACTCTTAGATCAGTAGCTGCTAACAAAATTTTTCAGAATAAATCAATGTTTTTGATTTAACATGATGCTTTCGCGGTCGTCCAACCTGTGACCTAAAATACATAATTTTATTTACATACAATGATAACCATGACTATTTTTATTAGTTAAAACATATTAGATGCTATCGGTGCTTTAATCCTACCTAAAGTTTCTGTCGCCTCCATAAAAAATATACTTTACTACATACTCCCCGAAAAGTTCCCTGGGTCTGAAAAACCAAACCCTTCCCTAATCCTTTGCTGTTAAATCTAGAGTTTGCTGTGGTTCAAACAAATCCCGGTAAAGCGATAAAGGTTTCTTGCGTCCAACGCAATTTTTTACCAATCAGGAATTTGATTAAAATCATATCCATCATACCCTTTGTATGCGTAGTACGCAAGTCTTACATGGTAAAAACCTAGTTTGTATAATCGTGAAAAATTTCTTTAATATGAAGGGAACATGGAGACTCAATAATCTTCTTCACTTACCTGGTATGAATAACAAAGATCCAAGAAAGAGAAATGGTTTTCCCCTGTCAAGCCAATCCTATATTACATTGTGACATTGTCATCAACAATGAAAGTTTAATTCTTTAGGAAGACCAATTGATTATACCATACCTCGCTAGAAATTACCCCGGTCATAATAAGTGAACCGAAAATAATCCCTAATGAACCCATCACAAATAATACGATAGCCAGGATTATGGAATTCCAAGGAACTAGTAGCAACGTTAAATAATAGTGAATATGATGCTAAAAACACTTTGAACCATTCATAATGCACGTATATGAATTTCAAGTGAATACTAACCCGGGTACACCGGTCTTCTAAATTGCGCGTCAATGAACCCATTGTCTTCTTGCAACTGAATGTAATTTCGGGAACTTCGAAAACCTCGAAAACCTCTCATTGTTAATATTCAAGAAATATCTTGCGCACAAAAGAAATGTTATTTATTTAAAAAAACGGGGCAGTACGCATATGTATGAAACGATTGACATATAATTTGGTTCCCATTAAATGAAACATGTATCTTCGGAATATATCGGGGTTTCTCTATATTCGTCAAATGTAACCTCTTTTAAGATTTTCTTCAATAAGAAAATTTACCATTTTTGGAAACTATCATATTAACTTATGAGAACTTAGTCAGCAATTTTATTCTTAGCATCTTATTTTCTGAGTGTACAGTAAATGGGATGTGTAACTCAATGAAAGCACTATTAAGTTCCGTAACAACCGGGATTCCACTCCTAAAGCTGTCTAAAGAAAAGATCAGTAAGAAATTTGTATACGGATCACCGTACGAAGTTGCCATTGTATACAATTTATCTCAATAAAAACTTTATCTCGCAAGATGAAGTACAAGCCTCTTGTCTGTTTCAAGTTCCTTTTCTTTATTATAGATGAAAGATTGTATCTTTACCGCAGTGACAGAAATTAGTAATTGAGGATCAATGACGACATGAAAAATCAGATTGTTACGAACCATTATTGACGGGCGAAAAAAATTTCCTGATAACTAATTCCTCGATCCAATCCATGTTACCGCATTCCATCACCTGTTTCATATTATCAGTATTCCTTATTCGCATCCAATTTGATATTGCAAAGTTCATTCCAGCGGTTTTCAATCTATCATCATAATATTTCCAACCCAAAATTAGGATTTGATCCCAATTTTCGATACTTATGAATTCAACCATTTTTTCGGCCGTCATAGAAGTTAACTCATTTATATTAAGCATATCGGCTTTGGAATAGACATCCTTTAGGAGATCAAAACTCAAACCGTCCTCGAGTTTTCCGGTATAAAGATGATACACGATACAGCGGAATGCATGAAACGGCATATCTTTTATAGTAATAGTCCGCATGTGTCCCTCCAACCATTCTCCACCCAATAACCTCTCGAAATATTCAGACCGTGCCGCGAGGATGACTCGATGTGCTTTTAGACTCGATCCACAGTCGAACACGAATTCCACATCACAAAAAAGCTTTTCACTAAAAAATCTTTCGAACGGCGAAAGAGAACTACACTCTGGTATAAGACTCGCGCTAGATCCTTCACCGTGAGATGGCATATCATCAAAAATTTGTGCTCGTACCATCAGATCCATCTCGGGCAAATTTGATTCGGTCGGACACAAATCTTTAAGGTTAATTATCCTGGCGAACCCATAGTCCGCGTTAACCCCGTTGAATTCAAAATTTGTCTCCAGTATATGTCGATCAATTATGAGGAAAGGTGTTTGTATTGTGTTTAAATGATCTTGATCTAAACGATAAAGTGCCAACCTGAATTTTTTGTGTCTACCGGTTATGCCATTTTGTTTTTCATATTGAGTTTGTATTGCTTCAAGGTAAAGTGAAATGAATTCGGTTGACTTCTTATCAACCCCATTTGGAAATAGTTTCAACCGCCAAAGATAGTCTGTGTTATTAGGATTGTTGGAATTACCAGAGACACTACGCACGTTCAGATTGATTGACTTTCCGGTTTGCCCCCTTGGCGACCAGAACCTTTCACTATAGAAAAAGGTACCATTAGGATGTCGAGAGACAAGTTCGTTAAAACAATTTATTTTCCAAATGAAAGAAAAATATCCTTCTTCCATCGTTTGTTGTTGTTCTCAAAAGAATGCTTGGTGGGATTCGGTCAATCATGTACATTTGGCATATTCGGAAACTAGATTCGGTAATTTGAGCACGTTGATAATTCATATTACACAAGTAATTCACGTTACATACGAACTCACTCCGAGGAAAATTTTCCGGGCGTCATTCAGACTTCTAGCTCGAGACTTTTCCTTACATCATCTACCACGATTACCAATAGAATGTGTAAGAGTATTTTTTTTCTTTTTTTTTCCTATTATAATACTAAAATTTATTAATAAAAAATTAATACAAGTAGATACAAACTCTATTAATTATATTAAAGATTCTTAAAAAAAATTTTTTTGAGTAGAAAAATATTATTTCTTTATATAAAAATAATACATAAAGAAATAAAAAATATTTTTCTACTATATTACTTATAGCAAATTAAATGTTTATATTTTTTTAATTGTTATAGAATCATTAAAACAATATATTATATTAGAAAGTACAATGAGACCTGTGGGTCAATAGTGTAGTGGTTAACACTCCACAGGTCAAATTACAAGATACCAGTTTAACCCCATATAAGGATGGTTAAATAGAATTAATATGATATCTGGTGCCATAACCTATAAAAGTGCTGTTTCCCATGAGAAGCTATTTCATATGCTGATCTAGTGGGCGTTGGGATTGTGATTTTTAGAAAAGGTGTTGTGGCATAATGATCGTCCAGTTGGTGTTACGATGATCGCCAGAAGTTGCAAAGTGTATGAGGTGTTCGCTTTCAGTAAGTTGGCTTGGTGATTGTTTTTCTGTGGTATCTGGTGTCTCTTTCTGCAAGTTTCCGGAAAGATCTTATTTCAATCCAGTAATAGATCACTTCAACAATTACTTATCTTGAAAAGGCAGCCAAAACAGCAGTAAGTACTGATAGCTGAAACAATCTATGGGCAGTAAGTTTGTAAGATAAGTTTTTTAAATGTTCTTGGGTAACTTTAGAAAGGTAAAAATTAAATGGTATGCCCAGTTGCAGGTAGTCAGGTTTAGAAGGATTTTCTTTGTTGGGGTTCTATTCACCCAATAGATACTACTCCTAGTTCCCCTTTTCACATTTCCCCTTAACACATCTCCAGTTAGAAATAGAACCTTTATATATATAATAATGGCACTGATGGAGCCTTAGCACGTTAGCCTTGATACATGTAGATCTTCGGATGTATAGTCAATAGTAACAAGCCGACATGGGGGTAAAATTCAATATAGTCTAGTGATATCTAGAATAAACCATAGGTAGCTTCATCCTATAACACATGATGTAAAGCATATGTAATTTAAATAAATAAATGCATAGGCAAGGCCCAGCTAGCCGATTAAAAAAAAAAAAATTAGAAAGTATAATGTATTAAGTAATTTTATTTACTTATTCAAAAATAGAATATAAAATAATAATAATAATAATAAAATTATATCAATTATATATTTCTAGTACTATTCAAAAAAAAATTTTTTTTAACAGGTAATTTATATTTTTATTTAAATTACTTGTTTGTATATTAGTTTTCTTGTTGACACTTGATATATCTAGAATTTAACTAACTTAAAAATAAACTATTTAAATATATACTAAAAATTATATTCTACTGTAAGGTTTATTATTAGTATAAGTAACAATATTTTTTGATTAATCTATCAAATATTATTAATTCCAAAAAAATTAAATAAACACTTTAACTTTAAACTTGTAACTTATTAATAGAATTCTTCAATATCTAATAAATTACTTATCAAAATACTATGTTTTCTTTTTCAAAAAAAAAAGAATATTTATTAATATTAAGATAGGTGATAAATGGTTTCAATAGTTAGCTTTGTTAGTCTTAATTCATTTGAAATGTTTTCTTATTTGAAAGACTATTTAAAAAATTACAATTTGAAAAACAAATGAAATCTTATTGATCAAAATATGTTTTAATATTTTAAAATTTATAATAAGATTAATAATTCAATTATTTAGATAATATTTAATTTTCAATATAAGCTGTTTATTTAAAAAGATGCAACTTCACTACAGATAAAAATAATAAATATTGTTGATAAATTATTACTTTTACAAAAGAAAAAATCATATTGAAGTTCTTATTAAATAATTTGCAATTTGTAATACTTTACAAATTATAAATCAAAATTAAAAAATCAATGAAAAAAAATAAGGAGTAAAGAAAAAAAAATAAATAAAAAAGAATACATCAAGCTTATCTATTCAAATTAGACATTTTTTCATCTTGTCCTTTTTATTCAATTAGATAAAATTATTAGTATTATATAACATAAGTAAAAACATAATTTTGTTTTGTTTATCTTTTACATATTTATTGTTATTCAATTCAAAATTTCAGTTAATGGAAACATAGCAAATTCAATGTAATCAAAAATTCAAAATTAAATTGAAATAGATAAAATTTTTTAAAAAAAACAAAAAAATTTTAAAATATATTAAAAAAATAATTGTTTTTATATTATAAAGATTTTTAAAAAACTAAAATATTTAATAATTTTTCAAATTATTATTTCTTGTAAAAATACTAGTATTACAGTAATAAAAAAATAGAGAAAAATCAAATAAACTATTTTTTTTGAAAAATTCTTTCTTACTATTGAAACTTAAACAAATAAAATCAAGGAATCTTTTTTTTAAAGAGATAAATAAGACAATAAAAAATTGAAAGTTTCTTGCCAAGATTTATAAAATTTGTATTAAAAAATATATATAAATTATTTTAAAAGTAAAAATATATTTTAGTTTGAATATTATTTTGAAATAGTAATAACAAAAAAAGTTAATCATATCATTTATAAAAAATTTTGAATAGTATTTAATTATTTAAAATAATTTAAATATTTAAATATATTAAAATATTATAACTATTTTTTATTTTTTTATTTTATTTGATTAATTAGCAAAACTATATTATATATATATATATATATATTATTTAATTTACATATGTATTTAAGACTTTGAAAAGTACTGAACTGATATCAAACTAATATTAAAATAATACAGATTTATAGTAAATTTAATATATGAGTTGTAATTTACTTATATATTTTTATAATAAATTTAAGTATCAAAGTAATATCAAAATAGTATTGTTAAAAGCTTTATGTATTATAAGAATTACTATTTATAAAATATTTTATATTATGCTAATGATATTGACTTTTATTTCTATATTAATTTGTTACTATTAATCTTATTTCAAACTTTTTGAACAATTGAATTAAAAACTAATATATCAAAACATTATTAATATTGTAAATTATTTAAATACTATATCAGTTCTATTTTTGAAGTTGTAAAGAATTAAGAAAAAGTTAAAATATAAAATACTAAAGAGGTGATAACTATATTTGATAAATATAATATTATTGAAACTTATTAAATTTTATATAATATTTGTCTTTTTAAGTTATTTAAATAATTAAAAATTTATATTATCTTATTATTCATATTTAAGAATTCTTTAATTTTTAATTTTTAAGTTTATATTAAATTTAATATATAAATTATAATTTATTATTATTTTCAATAGTATTTCAAATATTATATAAGTTTATATAAATTTGTTCAATTTCAATTTTTAAAATCATACTTATATTGGATTGCAATTGTTTATCTTAAAGAATAACTTAATTAAATAATTAAAAATAAGATTTTTATAATAATTTTTAAAAAAAAATACTAAATATTATAGAAAAGAATTATTAAAATATTTTGTTTAAAATTATATATTTTTTTATATCTTATTGCAATTTTTGATAATTATTATAGTATTAATCAAATAATTATTATAGTATTAATCAAATAATTATTATACTATTATATCTTTTTTTGAAACCCCAAGCAAGTCAAGTCTGAGTTGTGCTGACACTACACGAGGCTTTTCTAACCGTTGGAGTTCAACATCTGAAAGATGTACTTGTGCTTAGAGAAGCGTAAGCAGACCAAGCCTGCACATGTCAGCAATCTGAGACAAGAATAAGAGAGGCCTAGGCAACTGATCTTTTTTTTACGAGGCTTTGTGTACGTTTGGCAATCACAAGCCTGAGTATAATTAATTTCTTTTTTTTACCCACTCGTTTATCCCCTTTCCAACTCTCTTTACCTCCTCCTTCTAGGCAGGTTTTTCTTCCTCCTTAGGAATTTTTCTTCCTAGAATCACTCACTTCAAATCTCATCACATCACACTATTCTATCACTCTCAACCAGATTGGGAACGGTTTCTCTCTACCTAAGATAGTGGACTTTTTTAGTGAAAACTTATTCTTGAATGTTTTAGTTGGTAGATACACATCTCTCCTTATTATTAATCTGAAAAATCATGGTTAGCTTCCCCTCTCCAAAAGATTGGCAGAAGAGGATCATGCCATATCAGCTACCAGACCACCGATATGAATAGAACTGTGATCATCAACCTCAACTGGCATGGCAGACTCCATAGCAAGAAGCATGTTAACCTACTTAGGCAACTTTGAAGAGAATCACTGTATGGTATCAATACATGAAGACTATTATCATAATGCCTTATAGGAGTTGCATTCTGCTTGGTACTCATACCCCTAGATTTGGTAGTTAAAGCCAACCAAGAGCCTATGGAGTGTTTACTGGAAGATTTAGAAGTCATGTTCTATTAGACCTGTAAGTCTCCAGATTTGGTAGTATGTGCCAACTATAGGAACAGCTATTGGAGCATTTACTAGGAAGTGTAAATAATAAGACCACGTGTACCATAAATTGGCGAGTGGACAGTAGGAATATGAAAAGAAACCTAATGAAGACTAACATACTGAATCACAATTGGACCTTCACAAAACTGGAGACACAAGATCAGGTGGTTTAAAACTGGAGGCAGGATTTTCACCTTCTTGATGTCTCCCTCTTGATATGCGGATCTACTCACGAGGTACAGTCGATATGTTGAAATAAAAAAGCAATAGGTTAGCATTAATTTTA